TTTTTTTTTTTTTAGCTAATGTATATAATGTATAATAAAATATGAATTTGCACGGACATCCACTTTCTAGTAATAACCTCTCAGTGCATAGTTTTCTAATATTTTTTCAGATCATAAAGTCCTCCTTCATAATCTGCAATCTTTTATGTATTTATCAAAAATCTGGAAGCACAAAGAATGCTTATAATGCACATAACAAAGATATATGAAATACTTAAAGTGTAAATACTAGTTCTTATATTTGGCAGGTAAAACAAATTAAGATTCTAATCCAGATTTCATTTTTTTTTAGCTAAAGTTCACTTTTAATTAAAGTTTACAAAAGTATGAATTTGCATGAACATTCCTCTCTAGTAATAAACCTAAACCTAACCTAATATGTTTAATTTCTCAATGTAGTTTTTCAATATTTTTTAGATTATAGAGTCTTCCTTTATATAATAGTTTAGTTATAATAGTTAAATAATCTGCAACTTTTTATGCATTTGTTGGAAATGCAAGAATGCTCAGAATGCACATTAGGTAATATAATGGGTATATAAAATAAATAAACTTAAAGTCTAATAATTGTTGTATTCAACATTTGGTAGGTAAAACAAATTGATATTCTAATCAGATTCCTTTTTTGTTTTTTAGTTAAAGTTCATTTTAATTAAAATTCATGAAAATATGAATTTGCATAAACATTTACTCTGTAGTAACAACTTAATATGTTCAACCTATCAATGCAGAGTTCCCTAATATATATTATAAAGTCTTCCTTTATAATAGTTGAATAATCTGCAACACCTGAATTTGCATAAAATGATATTTTTAATAGACCAATGGCTTTAACATGTAGGAACATGAAATGGTTTTTAGTCTCTTTTTTAATCCATTATGACGAATCCTCTCATTTATCAAATAACAATGTCTAATAGAAAAATAATTGCAAAGCAGTGATCTCTAAAGTAAATAAGATTCTGAGAATCTTAGTTGAATGAAATTTTTTATGAAAATAGTTGCATCTGAAAATAACTGTAGCAACTGCAGACTTCAGTGAACATAGATCTCCTTAGATTGGAGATCTAATGAGAAATCTTACAAGTTTCTTTCAAAATACTAGAAATTAAATCTCTTTATAACCAGAACATTGATTATAATCTTTCTTACTTTTGTTTGAGACTAAATTTCATTGTAAATAAAATAAATGAAAGACGTCAATGGTAAAATAAAACGAGATACAGTGATGAACAAATAAAGCAGAAGTTGAAATACAGAATCATGTAACTTGTAAATTATAGAAATAAACAACAGATCAATGATAAGTGATTCAAAATTAATCTGAAAGAAAGATTGATTTTTAATGGCGAGTTTAATGACTTTATGCTTCTGAAATGTTCAAGACGATATGGGGAATTCAAAACGAAAAAAAGCGTCTTCCTTGTCGTGAATGATACATGACAGGGCTGTGTCAACTGAACCGAGTACTTTTAGCTGCTCAATTATTGAGCTATTCAAACGTTCGACTACTAAATTATTGAAGCTTACTTCTTATAACGTTGGTTTCAACACATTGTGAACGAAAGTCTAAGTAGTCACATCTGTGCAAATTCTTACTTTTATTAACACGTAATAAAATACGTAACAAGTTAATTGAAACAAAATTGTTAGAGATATTACGCACTATACTCATAGAATTATTTCAAATTTCAAATTTCCCTCAGTACCCTGGAAAATCCAATAGTGTTCTACTGATATGTAAAACGTGACTCCAATGGTACTTTTCATACTCCCAGTCCAATATTCAATTCGATAAGATTGGCTTCGACGCGTGATGCAGCCGAAAAAGACAAGAAGTTTCGAGCCATCTTTAAATACAGATAGCTATTCATTTATGTATAGCTTCGAGGTCAAACAAATGAATGTACCATGAAGCAAGGTTCCATGAAGCAATTATTTCCTTTTTTTTTTCCTGCAGCGCTTCTTACCATCAATAATTCCAAAAATTATTTCAGACATGGATGGAATGAACGATTATCTCATGAAATAAAATCTAAATTTCATACAATTATGAGATCTGGATGGAAGAAAAAGACATCAAACGAATCCTTGGAATGAACAGAAATTCACTGAAAAATATTGCAATTACGTTGACCTTTAGTGGGTTAAAAAACATTCTGATTGAACATTTCTTTTAGTACAGGGTGTCCTCAAATTTAATTGATCAAACTTCACCAGTGTGTTCTACGGATAGAAATAAGAAAAGAATGTTATATAAACATAGCAAACGCTTTGTGAAAAAGTTGCAAAAAAAAACTACTGGAATTTAAATAAACGTCAAGTTTGTATAAGTATCAGTGAAAGTAAGTATCACTTGCATCGTACAAGAAATGGAAAGATAAACTCTGTTCCCACATTTTTGTTATAACTTTCTTTGTACAGTTAAAGTTAAACCTACGTTTGTACAACTTTCCTTTTTTCTTCTCATTTCTATCTGTGGAACACACTGGCAAAGTTTGATCGCCCGACACTTAAACCATGTGGACACCCTGTATGTAAATAGACGCACATCTTTCTTTTCAAAAGAAAGTAAAAAAAGATTGTCAGACAAGATGCATGAGGCTGACGCCGTTATTGCATTACTACCAGGATCAGTATATTATACGCGACAGATATGATTTCACCGAGCCGTGTAGAATAATAGTTTAATGTTACATGACTAAAGAAAACGAACCGGTTGAAGGCGCCGCATTACTGCCCCTACTAACAAGAGAGACGAAACACAAATATTTAACACACGTTGTAAACTCCTATTTTCCCCTTTTAACACGTCCAGCGCCACCTGTACCGAATTTCAAATTAATTTTCTCGCCAAGCGATATTCACGTCATTCATAAATATATTACAAAAAAGTAATTGTTGTAATGTCATTATGTGCAGAGAAAGTCGAGTGTCAAAAATGTTTTTTTTTTTTTTTAATTTTTAGATAAAATGTAACGTTTTGAGGTAGTTCGCTCAAAATTAGCTTGGGCAAACGACGCTAATATATTTTTTTTAATACCAATTAATTAATCGAAAAATATAACTTAAATATAAATTAAAAGTAACGACGTCACGTTATCTTCGTTGCACGCGTGCATAGTGGATGGATGCAACGATCAAAGTAAACAGCGTGCAGGAAGAGAATTCTCGGAAAAGATTTGTTTTGATTCCTCCTGGTTAACTTGCGATGGCAATTTACACCGTGTTATTTAGACCACTTGTGTACGGCGTAAGTGATGGTGATAAGTGAGATGAAACGTAACGTCGAGCTCTAGACCCAGCAACCAGCAGGGCAAGCTTCACGACGATCTTCAATACCGGAAAGAAAATGTTTCCTTAACAATTCGTACCAGAAAATGAAAGAAGACGAAAAAAAAGAGAAAAAATACGTATATCCTAGTTTTAACAAATTATCATTGTCACGCACACCGAACAGATATAATCATGGAATATCATAGAATGTAGAACAATCGTATGATAAATAAAAAAAACAATCAAAGTAATAAAAAACATTGTAATATTATTATTATGCAATATTTATAGCAACCAGGAGGTCGTTTATTACCATAAGATACGCTCGTGCGAAAGAAAGGCTGGAATATATCACGTTTCACGCTACGTTTTTGCAAAATTCCACTGACGGAATTCATGCGAAAAGAGAACAGCACGAACGATACGATGCGAGAAAGAGCAAGAATCTTTCGTGAATCACGCGTTGCAGAAAATGCGAATTCGAAGGAATCCGAGTCATAGAGATACGTGGCGCAACTGCAAAGGAGAAAAAAAATAGCAATGTGCAATCTACGTGATCAAATAAGAGCGATCGAGAACGTGTTTTATCGAGTAGTTGGTAGGTTAGGTCGGCTGCCGTATTGACCGGACAGTCACGGCGCTGCGTATTGACGCAAAAATTTGGCGCCCTCAAAATGGTTGTCTCGCCGAGCCATCGAGTTTCTAGATATCACACGCGTCGAAGAAAATTTCTGACTACTCACCACTTCTCTGCATCGTTCCGTCGGATCGTTACGGCTCATTAAACATAACTCTGTCGGCCGAATAGCGTGTGAAAAGCCTCAACGGAGTATCACCAACGTGTCCATCGACGCGACACCAATACCCTGTCAACACGACCGACCACTCGTGCCTTAACCCAGCCGAATCGCCGTCTGGCATGCGTTTTCAAATGATCTCGAAGAAAGTCGAGAATCAAAATCGAGATATGCGTGCGCAGGAACGAGGTTATGTCGGCGGTTCAACTACCTGAAGTTAATCAGAATATTTGTTCTTTTCTTCTTATTTTTTTAAATAATCGAACGAGCACATTTCTATGAAAATAAATCGCATTTTTCGCTGCAACGTGACGTATTTACAAGACATCGAAATATTGCGACAATTTACGACGATTGGGAATATTCCTGAATATATGTAACTGAACGTGTATTCTATGTTGCAATAAAAATCGATGAAAATTTACATTTGCTTTCTTTGTCTTTGTTTAGTGTAAAACTGAGTCCGTTAAGTATGCGGATATTTTAATCGATCGATCGTACAATTTAAACGACGAGAACCACTTTCACCCAAATAGGAATATTTCAGTTACTCATTTAGGAATTGTGAGATCGATTATGTTGGACATCTTGGTTTTCGCCTATAAAAGAATGTACAATGATAATGGGGAAATGAATGATTATACACGAATCAATGATTATAGCAAATCATCGATGAATTTGGAATTATTGAGTGTTAATGAAACGCTGAGAGCAACATGGCCAAACTGCCTAAGATCAATGTTGTGAATGCCACTAAAACGCACAGTGCTAGTTTATTTCTTTTTCATGGCTCAGGTATATTCACAGTATTTTATTTATTTTTTTTTTTTTATAGGAAATAAGGGTAATAAAATAAGAGTTGAAAATTATTTCTCATCATTGTCATTTCAGGAGCTACTGGAACTAATTTCAAGGAATGGATTGATATTTTGAACAGAGAGGAATTAAAATTTCCACACATAAAAATTATTTACCCTACTGCACCTTTGCAACCCTATGTACCTCTTAATGGAATGGTAACATATTGATGGTTGAATTTAGCATAAAACAAATTCACATGTAAAAAAAAATGATTGTTATTTCAGCATAGTCATGTATGGTTTAATCGTAAAAGTATATCTATAGAAGCACAAGAAGACATGGAATCAATAAATTCAATGTGCACGACCATCACAGAACTTATTGATAAAGAAATTTCTGATGGTATTCTGGATAACAGAATTGTTCTTGCTGGGTTTTCAATGGGGGGAGCCTTATCAATATATTTATCATACAGGTACAAATTATCTTTAGCTGGATGTTGCGCCATGTCCAGTTTCCTTAATAAAAATTCATTTGTGTACCAGGTACGTAAGTTTTCTCTTTTTTTCTAATATTAACCTATTTGATACGTCTTTCTGTTATCTTGTTTGTTGTATAGTACTTGAAAAGTAATCCAGGAATACACACTCCACCTCTTCTGCAGTTTCATGGTATTGCAGACAACTTGGTTCCAATAAAATGGGGAGAGGAGTTTCGCGACAATCTAAAAGAACTTGGAGTGAACATTCAGTTTATACCATTGGATCGCACAGATCATGAATTAAGCAGAACTGAGATACAATCCTTCAAAGAGTGGCTTTTGAACATTTTGCCAGAGAAAATTTCTGACTGATTTAACTATAAAGAATTTATAGCATTGTAAAATATTGTTACAAATGTTTTAATTGAATAAAAAGATATCTACGAAAAATTTATTTTTTAAATATAGTTTAAAAATTAATTAGAAAGGTAAAAAATTTACTTTTGAAGTAAAGTTTACAAATTGATGGGAAGATAAAAACGACGAATATATGTACATAACGATAGTAACTTTAATTTTATATACAAGTGGGACAAATAAGCGCCACCAAGGAGAACATTGACGAATCATAAGCCAGTATCTCGAAGGGTCGTGGCGCTGCACCCCACAAGCTGTGAAGAAGTTTGAGGGTAGTAACGCATTCGACACACTGGCCTCGTATACCTGATATAACCCACGTATTAACAAATATACAACGAACAAATACCACTCACTTTGTAATAGTTAACTTTTGGAAATTTAGGAGAACTCGAAGGTTTAAATCGTCGACGTGTTATTTTATATAAGTCGTGATACTACGCAAATATCGAGCTGAGACCAAAAGTGATAACGTGAAATTACTCCTTGAACTTGCTACATGTTCGATCATTATACGATCATTATCTTCGAGTGCGATAATAACGTACGTGAATCATGTGTAAGACGACATTATCTCTAAGCCTCATTTATTGTTACGAACGAATGACATAATTTACAATTGATCGATCTCAGCCTCGAGGAATTGTCAGTCGTGGCTGTAAAAATCAAACGAATTCGACTTTAAGAATATAAGTTAGTAAGAATATGTTTCTCGATGTCGCGTCGAAAAACTGACCAGCGTAGAAAAGAAATATGCATCAAGGATTCGATTATGTGAATGTGCAGTGCATCGACAGTAAATAATATGGCGCGCCCTCATCTGCAGTCAATGACGTCAAAGTCAGAAAGCGGAAGGGATGTCAACGATTCGATCTAAGGAGCCGAGCAAAATCCTGAGCGAGTCAAGGTGAATAAAAATTTTCATTGAGAAACTGCGAACGACCATTTTTTTGACCGTAAAGAAAAAAAAATCGCGCGAACTTAAATGAAAAAAAAAAACATATTACTCGTCGTTAATTTAAAAAAAGAAATGTACGTGTTTGATACAATTTAAGGTACACGAATGGGCAACTGTCACGCAACTGAAATGCCCAAGATGAACCGTGAGACTCGTTGCTTCGTTCAAAAGCCGCACTGCGTCTGATGAAATCGATCAGCGGACAATACCGAGAAATTTGAATTTTCGATCGATGAGGCTTAATCTCGTTGCGAACGCAAGCAGCAAAGGAAGGAAAAATGACGTCGACGAAAAAGGAACGTAAATCAAAATTAACGTGCCGTCGATGCGAGAAGCCGATCAAGTGGTAAGAATTTCAGCTGCCGGTATTGTTTTACGACGCGGATCGGGAGAACACGGCCGAGAGATAAGGAAAACGAGATACGTTACGAGCCAAACAACAACAACGACGACGTTTTCATTCGAGAAATAGAGACGCCGAAGGCGCGAAAAGCAGCAGGTTAATGTTAAGTGGGGAGATATTAAAATGGGTCAAGAGTATCTCCGCGATGACAGTGTACGTTGTTCGACTCCACGACTCATGAGGGGATCCTCCTGCGAGTTGACACCACACTATATTAATCACACCAGTCGCCGTTTCTTGCAATGTCATTAACAACACAACAACGAACTTCAAACTGAATAATAATAATAATCGTCCGCGGCGAGTTTGATAATTTGAATTTACTTGATTAGAAGGGAATTGGAGGAAACGAGAGACTCGTCGATGAAATTAACGTATCATTAATCGCGTCGATTAACGACGAGTAGCCAATAATGACGTATCACGTGTAGGTTGCGCGACTATACTGTACCTACGTTCCTCTCGCATTCTGTTGCTAGTTTATATATTGTAGAAACTTTGTGTCGCGCGATGCGATACATTACGTGCAACGACCGTAAACATAATCACATTGTGTGTAAACACGGTTGGTAAGGGAGGAGAAGAGGACAGCTTTCAGTGAAGGAGTTCTAGAAGATTATTTTCATGGTGTACGGATCGCGCAAGATCGCGGAGTCTCTAACCACTACGGGGACGACTTGGCTGTACAACATCACTACCCAGGGTATCGTTATTTAATTTTTGTCTTGATAATTAAGCTGAAAGTTAAAGGGACCGGTGAGAGTGAAAATAATCGAAATAATTTAAGAAACGAAGAATCCATGAAATACTTCCGCCAATTAGAAGGAAATTGCAGTTGATTTACCTTTTACTTTGGGAAACTTGCGTAACATCCCAACTTTCCAAGTACATCTACGAAATTAGAAATATTGAAATTACCGGCTCGTCGTCTCTGGCAACCGGCTGTGACACACGCCGAGGATCACTTTCACCTTGCTTTATTTCCCGCCAGTTAAACACGAAATTTATTCTGTCAGCGTAAGTGAGAGCGTTTCGAGACTCAGTCAAAATCGTTACTCGCACGTGTCGAAATTACGATACGTTAGCCTCGTCGCGATACGATTTTCGTTGCAATTATTCCTTTTATCGAACTTCGTGACAACATTTAATGCACATACATACATGTACATATACAGAGTGAATAGAGAAAAGCCTAGGATAGATAATAAACACAAAAATTGTTTACAACTTTGAAACTATTAATTTTTCGACCCATGTTTATCGAGACTTTTTTTTCACATGGTACTATCTACCTCTGTCTAGAGGTTATGAACCTCTTTTTCTATTCACCCTGTATAAGAGACAAGATAAAAAAAAAACAAGAAAATATAAAGAGAAATTAATCTTCAAGGGCACGTGAGTCGATACTAGAAATAATAAAAAAATATACAATGTTGTGAAAATTTAATTTTGAAATAACGTTAGAAACGGGGAATAAAATTCTGCTCGCGTTTGAAGTTTGGATTATTGCCAAGAGCACGTATGTTAGTATCGCTACTTGCTCCGCATTGCGGGTTGAAATAAGTTTATCGTAAGGGGGAAAAAAAAAACATTTACGATTGTCCCTCTGAAAACGTGATCAACGAGGTCCAAACAGATTCCATCGCAAAAAGATAATACTCGAGCCATCTATCTGTACATCTTCAAAGTCTCAAAAAATTCAAAGATGAAGATTCTCACCAGCTTCCTAATTCATTTACAGAGGGATACGTGATTCACAGCCCAGAGATATTCCCTCGATTAGTATCGTTCAAATTTTTATTATATTAAAAGATTTATTTATTAATTATTTATTATTTATTTATTATTTATTTATTATTTATTTATTATTTATTTATTATTTATTATTATTTATTTATTTATTATTTATTTATTATTTATTTATTAGAATTTAGATTGTTATAAAAAAAAGTGAAAGTGATCGAGTAAAATGTAACGATTGCAGGGGAGATGAGCAGCAGCGGTGGGTTGGGATTCGGCGTCGGTGTCGGCGTCGGCGTCGCCGGCGGTCCAACCCTTGCGGCCGCTCAACAAGGCCAGGGGGTGGCTGCGCTTCTGGTGATGCTGGCCGTGCTCTGCTTCATATTCGCATATTGCTGTTGGGGCGCGCCGTTCTGCAGATCGCTGTGCCGACGGCATTGTTGCTGCCGGCTCGAGGATCCAGAGCCAGATTCACGGTTCAGCAACAACGATCAAACAATGGTAGCAACGCCGACGATTATTCTTTTGCCGCACGGCAGGATGCTCGTTGTCGATGGTACGATCTTCACGCAGTTCCAAACCGATCCAAGTGGTAAGATTGCAGGACTAGCACGTTACATTTCTGTGGTTTCTCTTCATTTTTAAATTAAGAGACCTGCTGCATAATGAAGGGTTAAGGAATTTTTATAATTAATCTTCAGTTAATTATAATTGCTGAAGATTAATAATAATAAAGGGTTAAGGGGGTTGTTATAATTAATCTTCAATTAATTATAATTGCGATTTATGTTGTGATTAATCGTTAATTAATTGTAATTTGTTAATCTTTAATCGATTACAATTGAGGATTTATTATAATTAAGCATTAATTCAAGGTCTTCAAGTAAGTGCTTGTTGGTACAGGTTTAGATTTGGTGGAACTAGGCGACAGCGTGCTGCGCGCTCAAAGAAACCCCCGAGGGATAATCCGACATCAGCTGCAGAACAGCCAAGGTAGTATACTGGAGATGGACGCGGAAACGCCGAGCAAAGACAGTTTGGGATCGGTTGGATGCTTCCCGCCACCGACTTACGAGAGCATCTACGGCAAAGAAGAGTCAGACATGCCTCCGTCGTACTCCGACATCTTGCTACACAGGTGAGTTTTGGTTTCAAAGACAATCCCGATCAATTCTCTGTAATAAATTTGACAATGTTGATTGCCAGGTTTGCCAACCTCCCCCACGAGATAGATATGCACGGTTATTGTTACGATGGTAAAGAGGAAATCGAGATGCAGAGCCTAGATGGTTGCCCTCATATTTTAGGCAATCCGATGAATACAATAGCGTACCCTTACGCGACCGTGACAAATTTCTCGTGTCAAAGCTTTCCACGTAGGAACGTCTCGAGAAACCCGTCGATCATCAGCAATCCACTCGACAGTTATTACGTGGACAACGAATTGGAATTGTACCGACTGAGCCAGGAGATGGTGCCGCGGGTATTCAGCAACGCGAATTTCGAGACACTTAGAACTTATCAGGATGAAACATCATTTTACAGTGTTAATGGGAACGAGAACGAACGTTGCTCGCAGAACGACACACTGTCGAATAATGGGAATTACTGCGTGCCCGATAACAGTATCCGAAACAACGAAAGAATAATCCCAAGTAATGCCGACGAAGTATCGAGGAACATAACGTCGGCGAACGAGTTGATGAACACGAGAAATCTCGTTCGTAGTATGTCGAGAACTAGTCAAGAAAGTAGAAACAACATAGAGAATTCACAGAGAGATACTCAGGAGAGCGGGGTGGTTTTCGTTCGGATACCCCGTTCCGAGGATTGCAACAATACTCCACAAAATTGGTACAGCAACGTTAGTGACAACGACAGATCAAGAGTACAAGCAAACCAGGAGGATCAATCTAGTCTGAGAAACGTACATTCCGAAAACGACCAGACGGATGAACCTAATTACAATGTGGAATCTAACTCGATAGGATATTATATTAGGAACCAAAGCACTGGCGAGGCTATCAGTAGGTCGCACAGGTTAGAAAACGAGGCTGTTTATTCTGACGAGGAGACCAGGAATTTTGGAGCACTGGCAGACATTCGTGAGAGTCGCGTATAACGTAAGATGCAACACTGAATTTATAACAATCAATAGAAAGCTCTTTGACCAAACGTTGTTAAATTCTGTAAAAAAAACTTACAATAAAAATGGGGGCATATTCTATTAACGAAACAAATCGTTTTCATGGAAGTTAATTGTTATACTTTGATTTAAACTGTTAACTATTAAGTTGTGAACTAAAATTTAGCAGATATATCGATACAATCGTAATTAGTATTACTTAATTTAACCGGGATTCGATATTTTTTAAATCAATTCTTAACCTCTGTGGATTTTAAATTTGTTTGAACACAACGCAAAAAGAAATAATTATAATGTTTATGAAAGCCTAAAATATGTGTAAAACAATTTAACTGACCTAAGAGATTACCAAATCTTCAAAGTTCTAAAAATAATTTTATATACAGAAAGATACAATCAATTTAATTGTGGCACAATAATGGAAAAGAAACGATAAGATAAAGTTAGTTCAGTCCGTCCAAGGGTTAATCTACACACTAGATTCAGTAAATATTAAGGAAATGACCGTCGTAAATGAATTTCAATACTTTTTACGTGTTATTAGTAATCTATCCTACAGACTATTATATATTTGCTTTTTATATTCCTTTAATATAAAATGTAATATAATTAACGATTTCTGATATCCAGATGTAGATGCAAGAAGTTTATAATTTGTATTTGTACATGTCATGAGAAAACAATGAACATAAGATATGAAAAAGTAAAATGTGTATAGAATAACTGTTGGACACATCAGGTCCTATGTACAGATTATATGTAAATGTAACTCCTAGATTAAATTTGAACTTGTTACTAAAAAAAAAAAAATTGTGTCATAAATGCATAAAAGACATATAGTGTTATTTTGCAAAAAGTATTATGTAGCACTATTGCCATGTATTTATATGACAGAAATAAGATACAATAAAAATTAATTTTGCATAGAGCCATGTATGTGTTAAACATATAATAAGTTACATAAAGGGTTATACACTATATACATTATTACTGTTGTTGCATAGGTAAAAGAAAATATCAAATTAAAATTATTAATGAATAAAATATTTAATAAAAAATAAAAATTTCGTTTTTATCTTATACTTTCTTTCAAATACAAAGGTAATGAAAAGCAATTCCAAAAAGTTTTAAAAAGATAAAAAAGTAAAGTTAAAATTTGGATTTATTGAAAGAACATAATTTTTGATCATTACTATGAACTGATATACTTTTAGATTAACATTGTACAAATTACTTTTTATATATGCATAAGTATTTTATATTCTTACGACCTAATCATTAAATTCTGAAAAACTTAATCATCACTGTCTGCATCTTCAGGTGCTGAAGAATCTTCATTTTGATTTTTACGATCCCAATCTTTCAATTTTGTTCCCATTACAAAATCATCTCTCAGCACATTCCAAATTTCCTTATCCTTCTATTAAACATATTAATATTATTATCTTTATTGGCACTATAAAATATTTCTTAGAATATTATAGCAGTTATCCAAAAATACCTTTCGCTTCTTTTCGTATTTTTCATTTTCGTGCATTTCATTTTTTACATCATTATCCACTGGAATACTTTTACTTCCTCCCATAAGGACATCCAAAAATGCAGTCTTATCGATACTTTTCAATACCTGTTCACGTTTCCTTTCTAGTGGACCAGCGTCTGATAATTTCTTGTTGATTTCAGCTTGCTGTTGCTTAACTGCATTAAACAACTGCACTACCCCTCTGTAATGACAAATGTATTTGTTCTAAATAAGCAAAAAACAAAATTTCACATTGCCTATTGTTTTTAAAGTAATTCTATTACTTTGTAGCAATCTTTTGTAATGTCCTTTCACGCTCTCTGTTCATTATACTTGGCTTTACTCTAATACCTAAATTGGTCTCTTTCCTCCTTTCTTTTAACTGTGGTTTTTGGTTATCATTTTCTACTTCTTCAGATTCCTCTGTTTTCACTTCTCTCTTTATTTTTTCAATTTCAAATGGCAACTGTTCCTCATCATTCTTCTTCTTTATATCACACAACTTCTTCGCTTTTGACAGAACTATTGTCCTTTTACGTTTTGGCTTCTTTGTCTGTAGAATTTTTTGCATAACATCTGCCCATCCGGGATTACCTTCAGCTTCGCTTTTCGCGTCATCAGACTGGTCCTCAAATATTTCTTCTTCTATTTGCATCTTTGTATGTTTCATTTTCATTGATCTTTTCTTTGGTTTTTCTAACATTTCTGCGTCTGATTCTGAAAAACAAACATCACTATTATTTTAACTACTATGATGCTTTTCTTCCAA